CGGCGGGCGCTTTCGCTGCGTATCACGCCCACGGAACCTGCACGTGTCGATCCAGCTCGAATACCCCACCAGAAGATTGCAGTCGGGAGCTCCAGCCGCTTTGCTGCATCACGTCGCAGCGCTTCTCTCGCGAGGAATGTTTGGGGTGGAAAAGGGGTGGGAGCAGGGAGCGGCCGCAGGCGTGTGGGAGGAGAGGATGTGGGGTGAAGGAGGAGGTGAAGAGGAGACAGGGGGAACCAGGAAGGGACACGAGGAGGCGATGCGAGAGGCGATGTGGCGGCGGCGACGACGGCGAGGACCCCCCATCGAGAATCGACCGTCAATCCTGTCTTGGGGTGCGTTCGAACACGGACTTCAAGGACAACCCAGGCGTGACGACGAGGAGCCCCCCAGAGGCCCAGAAAAGGATGAAACACACATGCACACACGCACACGCACACACTTACACACACACACACACATTCGCTCACATTCACTGCATCGTGGGAGGCGGAGGACGGGGTGGGGGAGAGGGAGAGGGATGAGAGGGAGGCGGAAGGCGAAGGTGGGAGGGCCGACGACACAACAAAACGTGGCGGCGACTGCGAGGACGGGGCTCCCCCGGCGAGGCGCCTCAGCCCCCCGCTGCCGACGACGCCGCCGCCGAGCATCCCCGCGGCGCGGGCGCGCGCGGCGCGCCGGATGAGCAGGTGGGCGGGGCGGGCTCGGCTCCGAAACGGGGGGGGGAACGGGCCGGCGCCGCAGGGAGGCAGGGAGGGAGGAAGTGCGGGGAGGCAGCCAGGGGTGGGTGGGAGCGGGGGAGGAGGAAGGGGAGGAGGGGGAAGAGGAGGAGGAGGAGGAGGAGGAGGAGGAGGAGGAGGAACTGTGACTGCCAAGTGCATCAAACAGTTGGCGGTTCCGAATTCGATAAGGGAAATTCCAGGGGATATATATATATATATATATATATATATATATATCTGTAGATCGTAAAACAGTTTGTTTGAGCTGTGACCGAGAAGCCAAAAGGCGCAGTGATCCACGCCGAATCCTCAAGGCGCAAGCTGCAGCGCGCCGAAACGGAGTGCGGCACGCAGAATGATGATCATCGAAATCCACCGGTTGTGGCTGCACCTCAGTCCGTGATCCCATAACCCAAGCGGCTGCTTCGCAACGTCTGTCAGTGTCCTACTTATCTATATTTGTCATTCGACTCCTCCTTTTCCTCCTCCTCGTTCTCGTTCTCGATCGGCGCCTCGCTCCCAGCCCTTTCTAGCACAACCTTGACTCCAATGAATGCTCTCCTTGCAAGATCGGGGCCAAAGGATCCTCTCATTCTTCGAGGGCAACCAGAGCGAACGAAGAATCTTGTGACGGCGCTCAAAGCGGTGGGATAGGTCGTGGGGGACGGAAAGGGCAGGATAGCACAGGGCAGGGCAGATAATCAGCTCACGTAACCGGTTTTCCTAGCGCCTCCTGGCGCCGGGATGCGCCCATGTGTTGAAGCATGGGCCCGTCGGCGGGGCGGAAGCCAGCTGCACGCAGCAGATTTCGTGCCCCATCCCTCTCCCTGTCCTACCCTCTCGTCTGGTCCGACGAGGGCAGACGGGAGACGGGGGAGGAGAGGGAGAAGGGAGAGGGGGTGCAGGCTAAGGGAGGTGGAGCAGGACGAACAAGGGGGGGGGGTGAGGGAAGGCGCAGGCCAACGGTGAGGACCGGGGAGGAGGATGCGCCAGCGACATCTACATCCTCCTTCTCCTCCTCCTCCTCGTCTTCCTCCTCCTCCTCCCTTCCTCCTCCTCCTCCTCCTCCTCCTCGAATCTGCACGGGAGGACGGGGAGGCACGCACCGGCGGAGTTGGATAGAGAGAGAACGGCGGGCAGGAACCCCCACGGAGCGCGAGCACGTCGCAGGGCACGCCGGCGCTCCAGCCAATCGGTCGCCGCTGCCCGGCTCGGGTCGGGGAGACGTAAGACTCGGGACGGGGCCATCATAGAAATGACGAGACCCAATCCGAAATCTGACGAGGGCTCTCGCTGCAGACATCATACATCCCGCGAAAACTGGACCGTCGAAATCCAGAACGCGCTCGGCAAAAAACGTTGGCAAAACCGAGTTCCGGCTTGCTCGAGTCTTACGTTTCCCCGATCGGGGGGGCTGTCCCGGCGCGCGCGGCGCGGCGCGAGCTGCGGACACTACCGCTTCCTCGATCGGGGTTCACCGGCCACGGCCACGGCCACGGCCTCTCCGCGCGGGAGGCGTGCAGAGAAGCACAAACATGAAGACGTGCCCCTCGGATGACCTCGGGTGGCGCTGGACAGAAATACTTCCCCCCCCCCGGGGGCAGCATGCACGTGTGCATTGATTCTATTCTACGGATCCATGTGGAACCATCCCAGCGCTCCTCAAGGGCACGTCCCCGTATCGGTGGATACGGATAGAACTCCTGGCATGGATCGTCGTCCTTCTCCTCCTCCTCAGATTCGAAATCGGCTCCCTACAACCCCGTGCGAAAAGCAAC